CATTGTATTTCATCAACATTTAATTACTTTACTAAGCTTTGTCATAATTTGCTTTCGTTTCTCTGTAACTGCTGTTGATGATGAGTAATCTTGTCCTCATTTTGATATTTCTTTAGTTCATGAATTAGCAGTAATCTGTAATTTCGTTGTTTTATTATTGCAAAGGGCTTTGAAGATAAAATGCGCTATAGAAGCCTAGGTTATTATTACTATTATTACATCATACAAGGGCACCGACAAGTAGTGAAGAGAGGATTACGCCCCTACCCCCCTTATCAAAGAGTAGAGGGACACCAAAGCATCAGTCTTTCCGAATTTTAAAGGCATCTTTTTTGTAAGTACACCAACAAAATATACTACTGAACCAAACATTAAAGCCTACTTCCATCATTTGTAATTTGAAAAGTCTTCACCTACGTCGTCACTCAATTACCCCCCCCCCCCCCCCCCTCTCCACGTTTGAGACCCTGTTGATGCCCTTGTTTGCAACACATCCAAAGCAGTAAGAAATTGAAGCCAAAAGAAAAGACAAAGCCACAAGGAAACTGGTATCACATTCTTTATTAAAAGAAATTCTATATTATTTTCTGAAAGTCTACAAGTTATTCATGAAAACCTTTTCTATTATCAACAACTTTTAATCAACACACTTTTCATAGACCAAACTTTAACAATATTAATTCTGCGATGACCTACTTGGTAAAATACAAAAATACTGCTCAAATAATCCATTAAACATTATTCAATAAACATATATAAATGTAGACCAATTGAATTATATATAACATGTTACATGTAATGTTGTACAGTACACACTGTAGATGTAAATGTATGTGGATATATATTCAAATATTGAATAACACTTGTTGAGAGCGAATGTGAAGGTCAAGCCACTTGCAAGGAATAGCTGCTTTCTATCATAAAATCCATGGGTGTTGTGCAGAAAGGCATATGTGCCTGGCAGTGCCCATATTACATTTTAAGAAAAGTTTTATATGACAAATCCATAACATATACTTGCATTTTGAAAACATCTTATATACATGGATGACGATAGTATAGTTCCTTCAAAATCATGACATCTTTTCATGAATTATGCATAAATGAAATATCTTTTATACAGTATCGTTTCATTGACAATAACAGATTTTAAACAGGATAATTATTAGATATCATATAAATCACTTCAAGTGCGATGAAAACAAATGACACTAATACAGCGTCAAAATAATGGTTCGATTCATAAGAAATGCATTTTTTTTTAACTCAAGTTCAAGCGGATAGTACGCACTTCTACCATTTCAACATTACATCTTAACATTACACCACTTCCTACATTGAAGTGTATACATTCCTTACCTTATATACATGTACCAAGAAACAACATCTCAATGAGATTTCGGGAATATAACAATATATTACATTAGGAGAAATGAATACGAGCTCATATCTAAAATACGTTAGACACTGCAATAATGCCAAGACACATTTGAAGAGGAGATAATTCCTTGATATATCATATGGGGGGAAACGAAACAATGCAGTGAAACATCGACATAACGAACACAATTATCACAAACTCTCATTATAGTATATATAGCAGTACTGTGTCTCCTGATAGTGACTTTTTTGCATTGTGTTTTGATCCAGAATGTGTGGAACTACACATACATTCAAATTCAAAGTTTATTCAACACTCTTCATAAAAACATTTAAATCATACAAATACAGGATGGAATGATTGTTTTTCATTCTTTAATGGGCGATCCAACTTCACAGGTTTTCGCAACCTTCATGGAAAGCCCCGCATATAACCTTTGTAAACATAGTTAAAATTTACTGTTACTTTGTATATTTTGATTTTTATATTGCGAAATAAAATTGAATTGAATTGAATTGAAATTGAATTGAATTGAATTGAAATTGAAATTGAAGATAGTGATAGAAAATTACAATGGCAATTTATGAAAGCATTCGGTATAGGCAGAAAAGAGGGATTCCTTATGTTAAAGACTACCCCTAAACACACACATATACAGGAAGAAGAAAATAAATATATTATCATGTACAATCAGAGTAAAAAACACTAACAATAGAGTTTAACAAATCTACTTTACAAAAGTGTCAAAGTTGCCCATGCTATCACACTATAGTGAGCGGATATAGCAAAAAATCACTGAAGAATGTGATTTTTATCGTGTCAATTAGGCAACATTAAAGATCACATTTACAAATACTTTCAACAATACTCCATTTAATGTCCTATGATACCCGAACATTAAAATCGCTTTACAGCTTCTATGAAAATGAAACAAGTAATACCGGTATATAATAGAAAATCTGGTATTTTCCCCTAAGTGCTACAGAACAGTGTGTTATCATACATAGCTACATAGTTGAAAGCAGATACAATTTGGTCTGCATTGTGTAAACAAGGCCACAATGGCAAATCAACAGCAATGGTATTCTGCCTACGCATAATAGACCTCATAATAACAACCGAATTCGTCATCTTTTCTGTTTCATGAGTTTCGTCAAACCAAAACATATCTTTTTATACATAGAACAAATATTACAGATTGAATGTCCACACATTTGGTTGTCTGAACAGCTGGGTTTACAAATCGAATGCACAACGACAGAAGACAGTTTGCAAACAATGCAATATTATATTATCTTTGATTTCATTCTTTAAAAAATTAGATTTCAAAATATTGATTCATTTATTTTAGTTTCTTTTGAATAAGAGAGTACAAAGCAAAGCACTTACAACTGGAGCATATGAAAAACACAGACTGAAAATCAACTCCCCAAAGATATGTTTATGCAGAATAATCATACGCTTGCTCTTAAAAGTCTCTCACTGAGCGATTTTCACTCTTGACAAAAAAAAAAGATGATCATATACTGCTACACAAGTCAAAGTACACTACAAACAAAACCTTTCCTATATCATTGACCTATAACTGTAATGGAAGTTGATGAAGGGAACATCTATGGCCATGATTTCACAAGAAAATCATGTTTGAACGTCATGTTAATGTATGTATATACACCTACTTCTAAATGAACATGGTCACGTCACATTGTAAAGAATAAAACAAGGGAAACGCTCTCGGCGGTCTCGCCTGCATTATTTATTTATTTATTTGTCGTTTTATTTTGACAGGGTAGCCCTTTCAAGTATAAAAACTGCTTGACCAAGGGGCCCTGTATCAACATAATCAAAAACATTTTTACAAAACATATAAACATTCATAAGTTATATGAACACAAAAATTAAACAAGATGAAATATTGAAATAAATGGGGGGGGGGTAAAATATTCATGTAAGTACTATTTTAAACTATGTGAGAGAAAGGAGTTTGCAGTGTTTTTTAAATGAATCCAGGTAGTTTAATAAATGTAAAGAAGGGAGTAATGCATTCCATATAACGGAGCCTTGATAACAGGAAGATCTTTTGAAATACTCGGTTTTGTGTTTTTTAATGAATAGAGGACAGGTAGTTGCATATCTGGTATAAACGTTTATCGGTCGATAGCACACGATATCCTTAATATATTTTGGCATTTTATTATTTATCACCTTATACATCCATATTCTAAATTGGTATTGCACTCTCTAAACAACTAATTGCCATCTTAGAGAGGATAATAATATAATACGAGGTGTCAAAATATCTACGTTTAGTATTAAACGGGCATAACGATTTTGTAACTTTTGTAACTTTTCCAAATGACACTTTGCTGAACATCCCCACAAAACAATACCGTAGTCAATATGTGACAATATCAAACTATCATATAACAATTTTAAAATTCTTTCCGGCAAATAATATTTAATTCGTTTTATACATGATATGGTTCTAGATATTTTGGAGACAGTTTTCGATATATGTATATCCCACTTTAAACAATTATGAAATAATACACCAAGATATTTAAATTCATTTACAACTTCGATAACATTATCTCTGTAAATCAAGCGTACACTTTGATTTTTGATTCGTTTTCTTGTCCCAAATAACATGATCTTACACTTTTTGATATTCAACATTAAGTCATTTTTTTCAATGTGATCAACTATTTTTTTAAACTCACACTTAAGCGTTTTCTCAACAAGGGCAATATCTTTGCCTTGGCAAAATATTGCGGCATCATCGGCGTATAAACATATTTTAGTATTTTCACAATAGGGCAAATTACAGAGGTCATTAATAAAAACAGTAAAAAGAAGGGGCCCAATATTGATCCATGTGGGATTCCAGTATTTACACCTCTAAATCCAGATTGAGCACCTTTGACCACGACACATTGTAATCGATCACTTAAGTAACTTTTAAACCAGGCCAATTCTTTTCCTTTTACACCATACTTGTCTAATCTGTAGAGTAAGATATCGTGATTCACCGAATCGAACACACGTTTTAGGTCCAAAAATAATGCACCGGAGATAAGACCCCTGTCTATCCCCCTAAGTAAGAAATCATTTACATCAACTAGCGCCGTTCCTGTTGAATGAAGCGGTCGAAAGCCCGATTGCCTATCACTGAGAAGAGCATTATCATGGAGAAAATCATACAATTGGGAGTGTACTGCCTTTTCTAAAATATTAACAATATGTGAAAGAACCGAAATTGCATTACGCAATTCGATATGATGACACATTGAGGTTGGGACATTATTTGTAAGCAGAGTAGCCCATTAGCAGCCCCCCCCCCCCATGAAATCCTCTTAATATAATCAACATTTTGAAGTGAATATTGACTATGAATCATCAGAATTATCATTTACAATCATTTGTACAGAGATTGATAACTTCAATGAAATATAAACAAATAACAAAAATTGATTTATTAATTATCATATTAAGTCTACTGACCTAAACTGACCTTTGACCTTAAATTTGTGACTTGGAATTTGTGTCATATAATTTGTGATACTTGATTACCCTTGGGTACAAGGTTCATGGAATTTGAACAAACACTTTTGAAATTACGCCAAAAAATCAAAATGTTGATGCTGATGCCACAACAAAGTCTAAGTTTGCAAACCTTAAATGACAATAGGCCTTGACTTTGTCACCTTAAAGACTAATCACATGACTGATGATACTTGATAACCCAATCTTCAAGTTTAATGGAAGAGGAATACATACTTTCAAAATTATGTTAAAAATGTAAAAACTTAACTTTTGGTTAAGTTTTTGATGTTGATGCCACAACATAGTCTAAGTTTGTTGACGTGAAATGACCTTTGACCTTGACCTTGGGACCTGAAATTCTCCTCACACAAGATTTGAATACTTGATAAGCCTTTCCAAGTTTCACTGATTATATTGAAAATTTAAAAACTTAACCTAGATTAAGTTTTTGATGTTGACGCCGCCGCCGACGCCGTCAGGGGAAAAGCGGCGCCTATATCTCGCTTTTGCTATGCAGGCGAGACAAAAATGATCATATTATGACACTAACTTTTAATTAACAGTCTTAACATCAGATACATGTAAGTTTGAAACATTATTCCAACACGAATGGATGCAGGAAAATAGTATTATTTGTGACGGACATGTGTGACTATTTCGTAGAACATATTAAAGTACTTCCTGTCATATAATCTAATCGCACAGATAACATTTGGCCACTCTTGAAACACAACTACATGACACTAAATACATGTATCAATATGCACCGGTTTAAAATGACCAACAGACTTTAAAATAAACATGTCATGGATTTATGTCTTACAGCTACAAATATTTCCGAGAAATCATTTCAAGTGTAAGTGCTCAGATTCCTTCTATTGTACTTTGAAAGCATTCAGGAATTCATCACAAAACTATACGATTATCCCTGTTGGAAATATTCACTTTTCTTAATAAGAAACATAGAAATAGAGCACTCTGAACAAACTTACATACAACTGAGGACTCCTGCACACGTGTATTTTCTAAGCAATATAATCTGTAAAATCTCTTCTTCTTAATGTACCCTAAAACTTTAGAAGTCATAGCCTTCAAGGCCCTCATCAATATCATCAATTTCATTGACATAGGAAGGGTAGTTTGTAGAACTTGCTTGTGTAATGAAGGGGTTCTCTCTGTTGTCCTTGTACACTACATCATACGCAAGAGGGCCAGCAAATGAGAACCCTAGGTAGAACTGAACAGGTTCCTGGCTAGGTAGACCATTGATGGGAAGAGACAGAGGGATCTTCACTGGTTCTTCTCCATCAGGGTTGTACAAGACAAAGTGCTTGCTGTCTAGGACACCATCCAACCGCCTGAGTGTCTTCTTGGTGGAGACCTCTTTCCATGTGTTATACGTGATTCGACCAAACGAATTCCGGTGGACAAATCGGGATTTCTTATTTTGAACTCCAAGATAGAACTCTGTGGCAGGTTTCATGGGGCTGTAAGTTTGACGAATTCTGGATCGTCTGGGCAGGTTGTGTCGAGACTCTGCATACACCTTATTGTGGTATCTACCAGTCCACCTAGCATTCAGTTGCCTAATTGTCTCTCCGATTGGTGGGCTTCCTTCTCTTGGTGTGCCATTGGGCCAATTCAACAGCATCTCAAAGAATAAGCCATAGAACCCATCGTCTTTTTCTTCCATCATCTTCAAGATGTTCACCGACTTTCTGGCCTCTGATTCATCTATTCCTTCGTTGGGATAGACTGACAAGGCAAAGAGGGTAAACACAAAGTTCCTGATGTCAAAAAGACTTGGACTACTCAGGTTTTGTCTCAGCAAAGATTGAACCTGTTTGAGATCAGCCACATTGTTCTTTGAAGCCATGTCAAAGATATGTTGGTATCCCTCCGCATTCATTCTTTTCACATCAGATCGTCTCATCGCATAAGCAGTTTCCACTGGGTACTGTGCATGCACACGTTCATCTTCAAGCTGTGGAGACGACAGAGCGAAGAAGCGGTGTCTGGCAGTGTAGACTTTCTCCAATTTGTCATCATAGTTTCTGTACGACGCTCCACCAAATCCTTGCGGTTTACAGTGAGCGAGATAGTCAGTGAAACGCCCAAGTACTTCGTCGACCCTCTCTGACAATGATTTCATGGTATCACTGAATTCAAGGAGTGAAGGTAGGGTGAGATCAGGAGGAATATATTCCGTCATTAGATACCTCCTCAAAGTCTCAAATCCTTTATTCCTGAAACAGAAAGGTCTCACCCTCTTCTGTACTATTTCCAGGAATTTAGCAATGGTGGTGATTTCACCTTCAAAGCCAGCATAATTCCTGTTCCCTTTATTTTCTTCCATAGCCTTCTGAGCATTTTGAAATGCTGTGCAAGATTCACTGAAAGTATCCAACAACTCCTTCATTTCACAGTCACTGATAACTTCTTGTTCTTCCCTGCGCTCATACTGTGTCATCTTCTCTCGAAGGATGATTCCTTTCGTGTCCCAAAAGTATGAGTTATTGCTAACAATGCCAAGTGCTATATTGATGGCTTGTTCTGCATTATCAAAATCACCTTCTCGCTTGCAGTGAAGTCGAGCCTTCTGTTGTGCTATGAATGGGTCTCGGAATTTCTTGATGCCAACTTCCATGATCTTGAATGCCTTCGCCTTATCCTCTGCATATACATCTTCTATGAAAGGGGCAAAGTCAGTTTCTCTGTCATCTCCGTACTCTTTCTTCAGTCTTCTTACCATCAAATCTCTGCAAACCTTCTGAATGTAGCCTTTGCTGTAAGACAAGGTGTCCAGGATTGTTGACTTTTCAAGAAGTTCAAGGATCATGTCAGCAGGTTTTTGTTGAAAGAGTTCACCAAGCTGCTCTACAATCTCTGTTGCAATAACAGGATGGACGATTGCAAGGCCTTTCACACAGCCATCAATATCTTGAATGAAATTTTCAAGGAGGAGTAGGTTCAGAAATGGCTGCCTATGTTTCTCCCAGGGCCCAAATGTCTGTTGACGACCACTGGACATCACTCTATATCGACTTTGCATGAAACCGTCACAGGCAGAAACAGGCATTGCAAAACCAGGATTGTACTTCTGCACTACAGCGATATACTTCAATAAATTGACAGCATTCTGGAGTGCCTTCTGTGGTTCTTTGCCAACTCGTGGAAGAATGCCCTTCACAACCTTTTTCAGGTATTCAGGATCACATTCTTTTTTCATTACCATGAACGCAAGAAGGAGCTCAGGAAACTCCTTTTCATTGAACACATTCCTCTGCTCAAGATCTTTGGTCTTCTTTGTGAACCACCGATTCTCTTCTTTTGTTAGTTTATGTTCAACACAAACGCATGACTTTGATTCTTCCTTCTGCTGATGACTATGTGGCTCTGAGGTTCTTTTGCAATGGATGAGAACAAAAGCCAGTCCATTGTTTCCTAAGTACCTGATTTCTCTCTCGAGGCTCATTAGAAACGGTTTCATGGTCTCAGAATCCAGGTTTTCCAAGAGGAGGACAACTGGCCCTGGCTTTTGTCTTTCCTCATAGCCATACTTGTGGAAGGCAACAATCTGATTCACTGTGTCGTTAGTAACCCTATTGACAACTGCACATCTGTAGTTTCGGTGCAAGTCCCACAACAGGTTCTTTGCTACCGTTGTGCCTCCTGAACCTGCTACATGAAAGACAGTCGCCATGGAAATGTTGGGGACTTTCTTGCCTTGAGAGTTGAGTACTTTATGAACATCGGAAGAGATCCTTCTGTAATTCTGACGCTTCAGAACATGATTGTAGCCTTTACCTCCATTCAACCTCTCTTCTGACAGATAGAAATTCCACCAGTCAACTCCATGACCTTGATAGAATTGCGACTCTTTCTCCTGAACAAAGTCCAAGAATTTGGGGTTATTCTCATCCATAGAAGTGTTTTCACACTCATTCTTTGCTAGGATTGATATGTCTGACCACTGACTCTGGTGTTTCTTCATTAGGTCGCACTGTCCTTTAGGAGCCATAGGAAGTACTGGCAAACGTGTCTCACAGGACCCTAGAAGTCTCAACATGTATGTGTTGATCTCCTGCCATTGCACTCCTCCAAGACATCTATCTTTCATATCCTTGCTTGAAACGATGCTTTGACTTTCAAGATGCTGAATCCATTGGTGCAGTATACCCTGATTCTCTGCAATCACAGTGAAATGTTTCAGGTCCTGAAAGGATTTGGAAGTGTAGAACTCCCTGAACAGCTGTGTCATGACCATGATATCTGAATAAGAAAGCAGGAAGAACAGGACGACTGCTCTGCCTGGTGGAATGACACCAGGGTGAGAGAAGAACCGGACAGTGTTCGAGACTGCATGTGAGCGCTCTCTCATCCAGTCCATATCTGACATCTTGTCCATTCCTTGCACATCAACATCATTCCGACCATTAGGGAACACCCAAACAGGAATCTCTGGGAAGTCAATTCCTTCTCTAAGGGCATTTACATCCTCGGTCTCGACTGTTAATGTTTCTGCACTCAAGATCTTGATTGATTTCCTCTTATTCACATACTGACAGAGCCCCATCTTGTTGGAATCTGCATTGCAGTCAAAGACAACATTCCAACTGACAGAAGACATGAAACCAAACCGTTCTTCCAACTCTGTAGAACTCAACTGTTGAGCGGGTGTGTTGACAACCAGAACTGGGTAGTAGGATGAATCAAGCTCACCTTTGTCAGACCCAAGAAGAAGATTAGTAAGCTTTCTTTCTGTATTTAAGTTACTGTCCTTAACTCCAATCCCAGATCCCTGATACAGTGATTCCTGTCTTTCTGGATGACCAAACGGAGGCCATGGTAAATCCACTTCAGATGGATTTGGTGTGGCAGAAGTATAGGATGAGCCGTATCCTGTCTCCACGTCTACAATAGATTCAACAGTGTCCTGTTCCATCTTCAGCGATGCAACAGGAACTTCCCCTAGAAAAGGAGCTGTTGTAGCTTTTTTCTTACCTGGAGCTTCCACACCTGTGGAGTCTACATGGATGTTACCCAAAGGTGAAGAAGATGAGGTTTTGTGCACACTTTCTCCCTGTGGTACTGGTTCATCTGCATCTGCTGATGTTGTTGGTGTCGAGGTAGGTTCTACTACAACTGAACTGGGTGTGTTCACATTCTTCATTGCACTTACCTTGGAGTTACTATCCCTACTGTCAGATAACGCAGATTCCGGAGTGGTCAGCATGCCCATTCGTTCTTTTTCAAGGTAATGCTCCCTCCTTAACATCAATCTTGTGCAATATCCTGCAGAGAGTTCGAAATCTTGTATCAGTGCAGCTTTGGAACACCTCACCAACGTGAAACCATCCACCCCTTCAAACTTACTTACAAGTTCATCGGAGAGACGTACGTTACTTTTCAGCCAGATGGCCACCTCTTCTTCTGTCCAGTCCTTCATCTCTTTTGATGCTTCACCTGAAGTATGTAAGAATAAAAGTATTCAAATTAGCAAGTCTCAAATATTATCCTATATGCTAACTTCTACGAGACATTTTTTCACATAATCAGCAATTTTCCTTTCGTAATTATACCAATAATTTTGTTTATACGGGAAAGCCTGATCAGCATTAATGTTGTTCTCTCGAGTCTCGATGGCCCTGAAATCATTATTACCCAAAGCATTGCTACGTACACATTAACACCAGGGTGGAGGGTGGCAAATGTGGATTGATGTTTTGCCAAAGGATGATGGTGCCGAGCTGGAATTCGAACCTTGCTTGAAATAAACTTTTTGCCTTTTAACAAATCAATTTCCCTCAAGTCAAATTCAAAGTAACAAATGTAGGCATAGGGACAAATCTTTGAGATCTAGAATTACAAGTAGCTCAATGTAAATATAATTGTTGTACCTGTATACACTTTCTCTGCGCTTGTTGCAGAATCTTTTTCTTTGTCCGCAGCATCGTCTGGCCCACATTTCTCCTGTCTCATTGTTATATGAGATGCCACTGAAGCAACTTCTCCAGGTGTTGCCGAAGGAGAATTACCAGCTAGGAGACCATAATTTCCTTCTTCCTGAGTGACTACCTGCTTTCTAACAATGGCTCCCGGACAACTGGGTGTCCTTGGTGGGCCATGACATCTGATGATGTTGTTCTGTCTTCTTTCAATGCTTCCCTCTTCTCAAAATCTGTTGACAGACTAGTGCTCCGAAGGATTGGGTCGATGACTGCATGTGAAAGTACATCCCAAGCGCTACTTCCTTCCGGCGCAACATCTAGAACGATTTCCTCTTGAACTTGCTGCTTGGTTTTTTCAGAGATGAGCACCTCTCCAAGCTGATGTCCGATGCGGCCGCTTTGGACATCTCTTTGAAGCTGACGTAGACCTTCGATGGTGTACACCTTCACATTGAAATGAATAGAATCTACAGTCAATCCAATTAGCCTGTATAATCCACTCCTCCCTATGCTCCTCTCCAAGCCCTTCACCAAGTCTGAGTGTCGCTTACACAAGATGCTGAATGTTTTCAGCTCCTCTAAAAATTCTGCTGCTACTCCTGTGGATGGGACCAAACTAATCTCTGAGGAAATGGCATCTAGGAGAGCTTGTAGATTACCTTGTGCTTCTTTCCTCACCGACGGATTGGAATGGGTGACATTGAGCTGAACCTCTAAGGAAACAAAGACACAACACGAACCATTCGTGAACAAGAACATGTAATAAAAATAAGCTTAGCTGTAAAGAGGACATTGCTTATGTCACAGTTTAATAAGCCATTTCGTAAATACTATCTGCGCATGGGCAGATAAAGGTAATTTCTGATAAAATTGTAAGACCCACCGACAGGAATACATGATCATGTTATGGATTCATTATTCATGTGTGCACCTACGGTACATTCTATGATGCAAGAGGGCAAACAATTGAAACAAAAGCTTTTCATGAAGCACATACATGACTTTGGCATTGATTTTTCTAAAATACACATAGTGGCACATAGATGGCTCAACTCCATGAGTAAAAGATCTGTGGATATTTGGGGTCATTTGATCCATGTGCTAACTACGAAAATGTCTTTTTGCTCATACAAAAGTTCATTAACAATACATAGTTTGGACAAATTCCTTGCCTTGTTCTTCTCAAAAAAAACACAAAAAAAACAGATATGGCTCCAGAACAGAGACCGACATACAAATTAGAAATTAGAACATTGAACAGAGTCGCTGAGTAATTATCGTTGCAGGAGCAATTGTTGTACATCGAAGCAAAAGTGAATATAGAATGTCTTACCTGTCACTCCTTTAATATGCCGGTCTTCACTGATGAGCAATGTCTTCCCCTCATTGGTGACACCCAAGTGATTATTGCCTGGAGATTTAAAAAAATCTTTGAATTATTATCAGGTATAGTAGATGCCAATACATTTCCCGCCTCTTGTATTATCTATTTGCTGTTTTGCTCAGTATAATACTACAATTATTCTGTCCACTATGGTGAAAGAAAAATATTCGCTCTTTATCAGTCTCGTTTGGTTGAAGAAAGAAAATGTAATCATGCTACCTGGAGTGAAATGTCGATTCTCTGAGATATTTCGATCAAGTCTGATATGGATATGAAGTTAACATGAATTGCATCTGTGTTCTCGACGTTGTACTTCTGAAAAAAGAAAGAAATGAAATATTGGAACAACCTGAATCTTCTAAAAACTTACGGATCTTGTATGCTTTCCTTCCCTCCTGGCAGTCCTCCAGAATCCTGGCGAGAGTTTCGACCTGGTCGTTTTGAGCTGTTTGTTCCTTCTGCCACTGCACCATGACGTTGTAGCAAACATTTACAGAATGAAAGTTGCTTTCCTTTCGAATTCTGCAGATCCTTGCATAGTTCAGACCTAATCGAAGACTCAATGGGATCAGCTTATCTACATGAAGTTCCTCTGCTATTTCCAACAACTGAAAATCCTTGAAAGTTCTTCCAAACAAGGTTGTGCATGTGTGCTCCTTCTCAAAAACTGAAAGAAACCGAAACACAATGGATTATGTTTCAATTTTAATCTTAATACCAAAGCAGGGAGCTTTGTTTTCAGAGTAGATATTTAACATGGCATTTATAACAAATTGTCATCCCCATTCTCATTTTCTCTGTTTAGCAAAATTTGATCCATCATCACATCTTTACATTATTTCAGAAAAGCTTTCTAAATAATCTTTAGTTACCCTTAGAATTACACAATTTGAGGACTTGTTTCTAGTATAGGTCCTTGTCAGTCATCAGGATCACCAAGAGAAACTTTTTACCCCCACTTTCATATTCTAATAGAAAAGTTGGTCCTACATAATGTTATTTACATTCTAGGAACGCCCTGAAGAGAAACGTGTTATTCCATTCCCTGTTTAGCGAATTTCATCGTACATCCATTTCCCCAGTATTATAGCAGTACCCTTGGAGCTTACACAAGTTGAAGACTTGTTCCTGTTTAAGGCCAGCGTCTGTTGTCAGAACCTTGAAGAAGAACTTGGACAGGTCACCTTCAGGTACTTGGTTATTGTACCACTGGTAGAGCATCTTGAAGGTTGTCTCTTCCTGTTGGCACATGGTGTTTGTTTCATCAAGCAGGATCTCTAGCTTTTCCTGAGGAAGACGAAGCTTCAGTCCCAATGACATGAGTCTACGTGGTGAAATGACCTCACTGACCTTCCACAGGATGAGTTCGGTGAGCTCTGAAGGATGTTTAAAAACAGAACATTCTTGTTTTCCTTTATTGAAAAGGCTACATGTGTTTCCACTCCACCATACAACACAGAGCTACGTGCACATCCACTATTCGCTACACACACACACAATATATATATATATACGATCAAACAATTAACACGCTTACAAACTCATACACAAAGATCATTTAAACACTTTTTAATTTTAAGTTTTACCTTAAGATTTTGTTTTTTGAGGTCGCCATCCTAGTCAAGCATCGCTTGTGATTTCAGTCTTCTGCACTTTTTCAACAGATAGTTTGGATATTACTTTAAATGTATAATATGGTATTTAGATATTAAGTTCCATTATTATATATACATATGTTTAAAAAAAACATTTTGACGTGAAGTTTTTATTGTTTGTATATTTTGTATTGTACCTTACGTTTATATTTTCTTTGCTATTCAGCTGTTATATCTTCTTGGTTTGGACCTGTATAAAGAAGGCACTCAACTACAGCTCCACATCATCTTAATCATTACTAGTAATATTATCATCATTATTATTATGACAATGTTATTATATTGGAAACAGGGAGCTTAATAGAAAGCTGACCATTTTCTAGAGAATTGCTGGAAATCTAGTCTAATTTTATGACAAGCTCGATCTAAATTGCTTCGATGGATAAAGGAGCAATTACTTTCACAACACTTTTATTGCTTTCTTCGCATCTACGAACAGTCGCTCATTTGCACCATACCTTAGACACCAATTGACTTTTCAACAAAAAAACATTTCCAGTCTTTATCAGCTCCATGATTGCCTTTTAATCACTGGTATAGATTAATCTTGCACTGGAAACATTTAAATAATCTTGAAGCCTTCAAATATACTGTATCTATCCCATGATAAGTGCACTGTTGGTACAGGTAGATAATCTGTGTGGCATATAAAGCGAGAACTTAATCAAAGACATACCTGGCAGATTCTCAAGCCAGCTCTCTTGTACTTCCACATCACTTGAAGGTTGGTCAACCGGTGAGCTGCTGTTTTGGAGTGGAGCCATACTGTCTCGTTGAACGTCCTCCTCAAGTCCCATTGTAGTTATTGCTTGAAGAAAGATTCACATAGAGATGAAAATAGCTACTCGTCATGGCGTCCGCAGACAACTACCAAAAGTTTCACTAACTGTATGATCCAGATCGCATTTCTACTAGAGGTGTATAATGATCTAGTGAGTTAAGAGGGACAGCTAGGTTTGAATCCTTGCCATGGCACTAACATCTTTGACAACACATTAATTTCATTTTGCCACTCTCCGCCCAGGAGTTACAAAAGGGTTTGGAAGGAAAAAAATTCTTGAATGCTTATTGCTTCATCATTGTAGCTCAGCAGAAGCAGGGATTATTATGAAATTAAGTGCAGTATAATATGTTTATAAAGTACTAGTAGCTGCCCTATTTATCAAAATTTCAACCGGTATATATCTTCATATTGGAATTAAATTGAAAAAAAAAAATCATCATCTGATTCCTCAATTAGTTTTTTGTAGATTGCAGAGTCAAGAGGCAAGTTCAAGTAACTATCATATCAAATTAACTTACATGGATTAAAAATGACTTATTAATGCTTTTTTCTTTAAACTATCCAAGTACATTACCAGCTCTGCTCATACATTAACCACATTCGTTCATGACAATAACTTACATGAACCTCTCGGTTTAAAGTAACATATCTTTCAAATACCATCCAACCTCTTTGACAACTGATGTCAACTGGAGATTTGCTAATAAAAAATATGTCTTCTGCTAATTATATCAATTCAATTTATCTCACTTTTACATTAAAATTACTCTACAGGAGTAAACGAAAATCACTCAAGGATATAGTAGATGCACATTTTCATATATGGACCACTCGACCATATGTTTGCCTGAAAATTAAATGTCTGCTCGATTTAAACTAACCTGTGGCTCCATCACTCATGGGCCATGCTTTCTCTCTGTCTCCTGGTGTCCCTTGGGGATCGGTACTGGGTCCTGTAATATTCTCATCTTTGGTGTTACTTGGGCTGTCCTTTGCTGCTGACTGTTGTCCTTTCTTGTTCTTGTGTGGAACCCTCTTTTTGGGCATGATGACTACATGGAATCACTTCTGATCTTCAGGAATACGCGCTAAACCCTTGCTTCCTGAATTCCTAGACTTTGGTAATGGAGAAATCCATTGATGTTCAAGCACTTGAAACAAAGGTTGCCTTGATGGCTCAAGTGGCAATTAATAGAGCTCTGCAAAGGTTAACAGATCAAAAAAGAAAGTCACAGGAAGGTCAATTGTGTTAACTATTGGCATCATGAAATTAACGCTTTAGACATTGAACTGCTGCATGACCGCTCTTCCTTTTATTTACCGTAAATTGCAAGCGCTAAGCCTCTACGGCGTGGGGGTACGTCCGAGGGTCGTAATACAAAGTTGTGGGAAATTTTGAAATTTGGGTGGATAGTAGGCCTAATTCTTTACAATGTTGATATTTATTACTTGGATGCTCCTGTGGATGTATTATAATCAGAAATTTCAGCCTCTAAAACTCTTCTGCTTTCGAGAAATTGAATAATAAAAAATGTACCAGTGTTCTCAGTAAATTTCAAATATTTCACTAGCTCCTAAGGCCATTCCATGGTAGCTGCGACCATGAAGATCTCAGAATATGCAGTTCTGATATATAATTTCCTGACGGGAAAAGCAAATCGGTCTATTGTAGTCAAGAAACATTGTGTTGAAGCTAAAGTAATATCAGTCTTGAGAGGGCGCTATACAACATAAAGAGTTATCATTTTCAATTTCATCACTAGATTGCAACCGCGACAACGATCATTGAATATTGTAAAAATCGCATATGCTTCCAATATGTTCATTTGAACTAAATTCATGACCCCATACCAAAACTTTGTATCACTTTTAAGATGCTCTATGGTACATTCTGAGGCATTTCTGAATGAGTAATTAACTGAACATTAATTATTTTATGTGAATTTTTGTTTGTTTTTGGAAGGTGAATAAATTATTTTATTTGTAGGGGGTTTAAAAGGGGATGCATAGCCCCACGCCCCTTGTCTCTCCGATCCCGGAGTTGGGGAGCATCGGTGCATGAGAATTGATATTATAAAGGCTTATTATACGCCTACACACAAATAAAATGAATATGATGATTCTTAAGTATCATCCTCTTAAAAACGTTGTAAATTGCTTAAGAGATTTGAGATGTAAACAGCTCAGAATGTTGTACAAGGTACAATGCGTGCACGGGAATGAGCTGAGCCCGAAACAAGCGTATGTGGTGGTGGTGGTGGTTATTTTACCTGACTGCTAAAAAAGCATAAATGCTTGTTAGTAAGCAACCAGACGGATGACGGCTTTGGGTCCTCTCCGAGGGACCTGGTAATGGATGTTGTTAACCAAATTTTAAAAGGTCAAGGCCACTCACTATACAGTACAGGGAAGTCAAAGTGAATTTTGAAGTACATACCCACGATTGTTTGACAAGTTCTAATCTTGAAAATGAAATAAACTTGTTATGCAAACTAACAGCAGGAAATATATTTATTTTGATATATTTAAAATGAATGCGAAGTCGTCTATAATCGACGGCTTCCTTCACACTTCAATGAGTATAGTTCACGAAAGAGGCTACTATCGTGAATCATACCAGGGAGATGAGAGTTTCATCTCCCTGATCATACTTACAAAATTAGAATTTGAAAGTCAAGAAGCTGGCTATATATAGCCACTGATGGCCCATACATTTTTTAAAGATTATTTTCAGATTCAAAATATTCCCCTCCCTCTCTCTCTCTCTCTCTCTCTCTCTCTCCAGACTGGTGATCATGCAATTCCACTCAACTCTGACACAGTGACAGTCTCATTTTACTGTCCAGAATTTAATTTCCAAATTGTCTCTAACCTATATCGACTCTCCGCAAGGTATGCGTTTACATAGGTCTACATGTAGTCTGTATATCCACTGGATGCCACTTTTTTGCAAGTAGATCTGTACATCTAATTTCTTAAATAAAATGAACATTAATTCTTTTTTTTAATTCATGTATGTCTGATTTACCGTTCTCTTGTTAGGCTGGGTGGTTTCCGTTTGTCTCTTGTTTCCCTCTCTCTTTCATTCGTCCAGATGATATGATATGCAGGCGAGATCATAGCTCTAATTGTTTGTGTTTGTCATTCAGTGGGGAAAACCAGCGAGTGGGGAAAACCCACTATCATTCGTGTTCTGCGCGTGCGCGCATTTTTCATAGTGTGCTCGAGATCATTCATGACCTATAATAAAATAAGCAGGAAAAAGAAAGATTTTAAACAAATTAATGAAAGTTTGAGCAATATCCGATTAAAAATAGGAAACATAAATAACCAGCACTGTGACGGACGAGAGGTGAACAAAATCCCTGGTCACCTCATGTAGCGGCGCGCGTCTTGTACCCCGGCTTGTACCACAGATTCCTATATCATGAATATTCATTACGGGGAATATCTTACGTACGTACGTAGCATGCCCAGCATCGAATATCGTATGTAACACGACATAGAAAAGCAATGTCATGATCATTTATATAATATAGTCATAAATGCTGTGTTTTAAATATTATTAAATGCCAAAACGTCAGTAGACAAGACAGGCGCGTACACGGGGGGGGGGGGGGGGGGGTTGGAGGGTTAAACCCCCCTCCCTTTGGCATTGTTATGTGTGTAACCCCCCCCCCCCCCCCCTTTGGATTTTTTTTTTTTTTTTAATTAAAAAAAAAAAAAAAAAAAAACATATCCCCATGGCTGACCTAAAACATATGACCTTATCCGAAGATTTAGAGTCGATAACGACACAATGAATCATCTTCTTTCTCTAATGATTTAATGAAACGTAAAAAATTCGGCGCTTCTTGCGGGAGGGGGGAAACTAAATTCAGACGAGGATTATTTTCGAGAGCGGTACAACGAATCGTCTTCTTTCTCTAATAATTTAATGAAACGTCAAAGCTTCCGCGCTTCGCGCTGGAGGGGGGGGGAACTGAATTAAGTCAAGGATAAAGAGTCGAGAGCGGTACAACGAAACGTCTTCTTTCTCTAATAATTTAATGAAACGTCGAAGCTTCCGCGGGAGGGGGGGGGGGACTAAATTTAGGCGAGGGTTATTTTCGAGAGCGGTACAATGAATCGTCTTCTTTCGCTAATAATTTATTGAAATTTCAAAACTTCCGTGCTTAGCTGAGGAGGGAGGGGGAAATTCGCCCCTCCCTGCACCCACCCCCTCCCCCCCCCCCCCCCAATTCCGTCACTGCTGGTCACCATTACGTACCAATATTTGGCTCGCATAATTTTCCATTTTGGGCCCCCCCCCCCCTAAGAAATCATGGATCCGCGCCTGGGGGAGGGGGCCCAATTTGTACGAAAATAATTAGCGGCGAAACAGCCAGCCGATAATTCGCTCAGTGGGGGGGGGGGGGTAGTGAGCAATAATTAATTTTTTTTTGGTCTTTGGAAATTTTGAAAAAGGTAAAATTAACGTGTTTTAACACGATTTTTTCCCAGGGGAGGGGGCCCTTCTAAATCCGCCACTGGTTCAGTGATTATTTCTTTCACTGTTATCTTCATCATCTTGATCATGATCATGATCATATTCTTCATTATCATCATCAGATCACCATCATCATTAACCTTCCACTTTCTTCATCATAATACTCAACACCATCACTACTAAGATCATAATCATCACCCTCATCATCATTATACGTACCACTGGCAACACCGGTCTGCTCCTCCTCCCCCCCCCCCCCCCCTTCTCACGATTATCATCAGTTATACAGCATCGACACCACCACCACCTACATCATCATCATAACCTACATCAGCAATTTTCGGCATCACCATAATATATCACCACAACAACCATCGATCACCATCAACAGCCTAGGGTGGGCAGAGTCGATCAGCCTATTTTTGTTTTATTATTCAAAACCTTTTTTTTTTCTTTCTTTTTTCTTGGTACCCTTTTACTTTATAGGAGTTAAAAAGTTTTGCGTTTCCCCAACCAAAATTCACCAAAGAGAGTTTTCTGTTTACCATCCCTTGTATTCATAGACAAGCAGGCACATTTTCCCAAAAATAAATCCGGATTTGAACTATTGCAAGCGAGCGAAACAAATTGCACTTTTACTACGGCAAAAATGTTATTTAGCAATCAATATAGAAAGATCTATACGTGCCACCCCACCCACCTTTCCCCCGCCGTGTCCCCGTAGCTACGCCAACCACCCGCGTATTTAGGGGCGGAAGCGAAGCGCTCTCTCTAAGGAGGGGGGGGGGGGGAGGTCCAGGGAGACGAATTTCTCCCGCAGAAGCTTAAACGTTTCATCAAATTTTGAGAGAAAGAAGACGACGCTTCATCAACTCTAATTCGATGGCAGTTTTTGTAATAATGAAGGAACTTGATTGAGAGAAATATAGCGATAAAATAGGCCCAGTGAGCGCGTAAACCGAGGGAGGTGCTAGTGGTGTGCAGGGAAGAGAAAGTGTTTCCCCTCTCGTGGAAAGCTTGAAGTTTTATCAAATTTTAAGAGAAAGAAGACGACTTCCATTATACTCTATTATGTATGCCCGTATCTGTATAATGAAGGAAATTGCTTGTGAGAAATACGTTTGTCATAGTAAGCATGCAAAGCGAGGGGGGTGTCGAGAGAGCTTTATCCCCTCTTTAATTCTAAGAGAAAGAAGACAACTTGTAGTATTTTCATCCTCCAATTTTATTAGAATAAACGGGGAGGGGGTGGGGGGGGGGGGTAATAAGGAGTACTATATATTTTCCCCAATTCGTGAGAAAATATTTAGCGGCGAATCAGCCAGCCGGCGAATAAGCGGGGGTGGGGGGGGCGGGTGGGGTAAGCACTAATTTATTCAATTTTTTTTTTTTTTGTCAGAGGAGGGGGGGTATTCTAGAAGGCCCCTTTTTGCCAAGGGGGGGGGGTGGAGTGTTTGAACACATAAAACACCACCTGTTTGCCAGGGGGGTGAACACCCAAAACGACACCCCCTACCCCCCCCCCCCCCCCCCCCCCCCCCGCGACTCGATCAGCACA